AACGTTTTCCAAAGTTACTTTTCTAGAAAAATCTGTCCTATATACCACATACATGATGGACGCATGTGGTGTTCCAAAACATACACACTACTACCTAAAGATACCTAGAGGCAATCTAAGATTTTGCAACACCGAAACTGCCCAACACCAGCCTAATAAACAGGAGGAAGACAATAACCAATATGTAAGCAAAAGACACTTTATCTACACCCATACTGAGATGTAAGGCCACTACAGATTTCTAAGGTGATGTCCCCTATTTATCTAGAAGTGTTGTTTCTTGTGACAAATGCTCAGAACAACTCACTCTAAACACATAAACATCAGAGACAAACCATGTCAGGGTCAGTGTGAGTTTAAAAAATCTTATGTAACACTGTACTGTATACCCAAAATTAAAGTAGTAAAATTTTAAAAATATTCTTTTGAATCCTGTTGGTTTCAAAAAACATATGTAAGTCAACCAGATCAGGAATTCATTAAATTAAACATGTTAAAATTTTAAATGCTTGAAAACTTTTAGTGATCTGAATTAACAGAAGTTTCTGACCGCTTAAGGAAGGTGTTTATTAGACAGTCTCCATTTCCAAAGAGGACATAAGAAATGAAGAAGGCTTAAACTGTAACAAAGGAGATTTAGCTTTGACATAATTCTAACTAGAAAAGTAATTAAACACCATAATAAGGTATCACAAATCTCTGCCCTTGGGGATACAAGAATAGGAGGATGGCTATCTTGGAGGAGTTAAAAGCAATTCCACAGGAAAAGTTGAAATAAACTAGAAAATTTCTAAAGCCAGTTGTCAGCTTTAGAATTCAATTTATCTATATCCACAGCCTGAGTGTCTCTGCAAGACATTCCACCAAAGAAAGTTACACAAATCTACAAGTGGCTTCAGTTTGGTTTAGACATCAGGCTTACCTGTCACCACACCACTTACTCATTAAACTGAAAACTGACTACCTTTATTAAGAGTCAGTTCTACCAACCCCAGCAGCACGGCTGCCAACTCAGATATAAGCACTACACAAATGCTCAAACAAAAACAATACTTGGTTCTAAATTAAACACATAGAAATATCTAAATAATTTTGTCAACCTTAGAGCAAAAAAGCCTGTGTTAACAGAGTAGATAATTTATAAGCCCAAAAGATTCAACTTAGTCAGTCTCTCAATAATTATAAGAAAAAACAAACTCTTACTTTTGAAAACAAAAGCATAATCTTTGCAACTTGGGTTTCATTTTAAAAGACTCAAGGTCTTCAATTTAAAATAATGATTTTTAACTTGACACCATTATTTTTAACAGTTATCAGACAAATGAATGGTGGTTATTCTTGACAACCAAAAGCAGGCACTTATGGAGTCACAGTCAGGTTAATCAATAGATTAGGGGCCGGCACTAGGGCACAGTGGGTTAACGCCCTGGCCTGAGGCGTCAGCATCCCATCTGGGCACCGTTTTGAGTGCCGGCTGCTCCACTTCCCATCCAGCTCTCTGCTATGGCCTGGGAAAGCAGTGGAGGATGGCCCAAGTCCTTGGGCTCCTGCACCCACATGGGAGACCCAGAAGCTCCTGGCTCCTGGCTTCGGATTGGTGCAGCTCCGGCCGTTGCAGCCAACTGGGGAGTGAACCATCGGATGGTAGACCACTCTCTCTCTGCCTCTCCTCTCTCTGTGTAACTCTTTCAAATGAACAAATAAATCTTAAAAAAAAAAAAAAATGGATGAACCTCAAAAACATTATTTAAAAAAAAATCAATAGACTAACCACCATAGCAAATTCAGAGACTTTTGCCAAGCTGTATTAGGACTATCTCTACAGTTGCCAAAGTTAGACATTAAATGACACTTACACAATTCTAGACTCTAGATATTTATTTCAGCCACACAAATACTCTTTTAAAAGATTTATTTATTTGAAAGAGTGACAGAGAGAGAATCTTCCATCCGTTTGTTCATTCTCCAAATGCCCACAAGAATCAGGAGTGGGCCAGGCCAAAGCTGGGAGGCAGGAATTCCATCCAGGTCTCCCATGTGGGTGGCGCGTGTGTTTCCCAGCATCAGGACGCTGGACTGGAAGTGGAGCAGCCAGGCTCCAAGGAGCACTCCAGATACAAAATGCTGGCGTCTCATGTGGAAGCTCAACCCTCTGGACCATAACACTGGCCTCAACAAGCACAAATACCTTCACCAAATGTGAACTGTGCATGCACGCATGTATTTAACTAGATTACATTAGTTATGATAGGTGTTTAAGAACATATCAAGGTGAATTTAGGTGGCTGTAAGAATCAAAACATGGTATTGGGGCTGGCGCCGCAGCTCACTAGGCTAATCCTCCACCTGTGGCACCAGCACCCCGGGTTCTAGTCCCAGTTGGGGCGCAGGGATTCTGTCCTGGTTGCTCCACTTCTAGTCCAGCTCTCTGCTGTGGCTCGGGAAGGCCCAAGTGCTTGGGCCCTGCACCCACATGGGGACCAGAAGGAAGCACCCGGCTCCTGGCTTTGGATCGGCGCAACGCACCGGCCATAGCAGCCATTTGGGGGATGAAACAACGGAAAAGGAAAACCTTTCTCTTTCTCTCTCTCTCACTGCCTAACTCTGCCTGTCAAAAAAACAAAAACAAAAACAAAAACAAAAACAAAAACAAAAACATGGTATTGGATTATAGAGCCTACTAGCTTTTATAAGAAAGAAAATGACAAGTTTCCTGTTTTCAACGCACAAATTATTTTCATTTTATATCACAGAAAAGAACATTGTTTGTACAGCCAAACTCTAGAGTAATGTTGAATTATCACTTAATTGCCTGGATTCTTAAGAACCTACTAGCTTTCAACTGTGTAAAACACATTTTGTAATGGCTCATTCCTGTACTCACAAAGATATTTTATACAGACATAACATGCCACCAATGTCTTACTCCATGTCTTTGAGATTAACAGTTTATTTAAACACTCAAATAGAATTTTTATAATCCAATTATATTTTTAGCTACCTTTTCTTATCCACACCTGGGCCTCACCTATTCCTCACTTTTTACAACATCCAAAAACAAACAATCTTAGATGTTAAACACACATACCTCAAGCATATAAAATTCATTACACTTGTTTTGGAGCCACAATAATTGTACTAATAAAGACTGACTCTAAAGAACTAAGAACTTATTAGGGCAGTGTTTAAATGGTCGATTCACAGGGGGTGGGGAGAAATAATGATCCTCCCCTACCAAACTGGCAGCAACAATATGCCAAGTTTCCTACGCTGAACCAGTGTAAACAAGGAAGAAAAAGAGCAGGGGTGGGAATCAGGCAGGCAAAAGAACAACTCTAAAGTTAAAACTTTACTTCTGAATTCACCAGCGCTCTTCTCGGTGTGTTCAGTAACCCCCGTCATTTTTTGACCATTTGAACATCATAGGGTGATGGTCACAAAACTACAGTTGGCTCCATTCCCTGCCTGAGATGATCTGGACATAAAAGATCCCAGTGGAGATCACAGAAAGCTTATCTAACTCTAAAGTCTATCTTCTGCATCCAGTGTCTCAAAAAGTTTTCAAAACGCTCAGAAATTCAAAACCACTCTTGCTGTATTAACTGACTTTAAAGATAGAAGAAACAATCACAGATGTTGCACAGAAGAAAAAAATTACACATCCCCTTTGACACAGTCACAGCTCCAAGGCTCCCATTAATAAATGAGCATCAGCTAGAGTAAGGCTAGGTCTGGAGTGGGATAGAAACGAGGCTTCCAGACTCTCTTCTGGCACTGCCTGAGGCATTCGGTGGACACGGAATAAGGGAAGGAGGCTAAGCAAGTGACGCCAAGAGAAACAAGATTCCACATGTCAGGAGCCTGAATGCCCAGCACAGGGAGCAAAGGGCACTCACTCCACTGCTTTTCACCCAAAGAAAGGTTAGATGCTTCGCCTGAAATCCTAGCAAAGACAGTCTAATGGTCTCCACTCTCACCTCGAGTGAACTCAACAAACCTCTTCTCAGAACAAGGGTAAGTTTTGCTTATCAAAAATAGCAAGTGCTGCTTCCAAAGCCAAGAAACACTCCTTTACAACAGCGATAGTCTTCTGCCCCAATTCAGTCCTCGACAAGGTGACCACAAGCCAAAAAAATATTCAGTTCCCAGCCTAAGTCAATTTCTCCATTTCCCCAATCGTCTCATCAACCCCGTTTTCTTTCAGATAAGCCTCTCTCTAGTCCAAGTATTCTGGAGACCTTTCGCGAAGTTCCCTAATTAACCCTGCACCCATCCCTGGTCCCTCCACAAAGCTCCCTGCCCCCGCTTTTCCCCAGGCCCTGTTCCAACCTAACACTCCCGATCCTGCACCAGATCTACAGTAGAGCCCACTCCTCCCTGTTACAACTCCTCGGAAAGTCACCACCCCCGCCAGTCACTTGCCTTCCTCCATAGTAGTCTGCCCTATCTATCCTCGGATGGAGACACACAAATTACCTGTTCTCAGCTCCCAAGTCCCCAGAGTCTCCCGAGTCCCGGTCTTCCACACCACCTACTGCGCCCCCAGAGTTTCCTTCCAATCTTGTCATTCTTAGCCCCTAACTCTAAACCTCAACCTTTCCCCCCAAATCCAGACTTCCTGTGTTTTTTACTCTCAGCCAACAGCACACGCGTTTTCCTGCCAGGTCTGTATCTCCCATGCCTCGATGCCCTAAGTCTCCCCCTCCCTCTTCCCACGTTCCTCGGCCCCCAGTTCTCCGCAGAACCCCGGGAACTCGCCCCCCAATCTCGCTTCCGCCCCTCCTGTGCCCGTGGCCCCTAACTCTCCTCTGACCCCTCTCAGCTCCCAGATTCCTCCACAAGCCTTTAGACGGGGCTCCCCCATCCGCCCTCCCCGCCGCGGGAGGGAGGTCCACCTCACTACCCGCCTGGCCCGCCCCACCGCCGGGCTCGGGCGTCCCTTCCCTTCCCCTCGGGGCCCCGAGGCCGCTGCCAGCGCTGGCGCGGCGGGGCCGGCTCACCAGTTGGTCATGTCCAGGAAGAAGGCGCAGCCGGCCGGGTTGAGCTGGAAGCCGAGCAGCCTCTGGAACTCGGAGATGAGCACGTCCTTGTCGGTGGTGCCCAAGCAGCTGAACTTCTGCATCAGCTCCGGGTCCAGGTCCACGTCCATGCCCTCCATGGCGGGGCCGGACACCCGCTTCCCGGCCTCCTTACAACCGAGCCGCCGCCGCGCCGCCGGGCCCGGGGACCGGGAGGGGGCCCGTTGGTGGCAGGCGCCGCAACCCCGCTCCTTTGAAGTAGGCCCCGGGCCTCTCACCGCCTCATAGGGGTAAACTCACTCAGCCACTCACTCACTCTCGCGCTCCCCCCCCTCCCACCCCCCCCAGCGCCGCCGCCTCCGCCGCCGCCGCCTCTCGCTTCGCCGCCGCCTCCGCCTCCTCCCGCGTCGCACCCACTGCGCAAGCGCCACCCCCAGGCCCCGCCCCTTCCTCTGCCGGACGCCCGCCCCTCAGTGGCGTCACAAACCCGTGACGTCCCCCGCGTGACCTCACCGCGGTGGGGCGAGGGGGCGGGAACTGGGGAGGAGGCCGAGCTGGCTCCGCCACGGGGGCGTCTCTCGGCCAGGCCTTGTCCCCGCCCGGCCCCTACCCTCGAGGGGAGGGGCAAAAGCCTGGGGATAGAGGAGAAGCTTGGGATCTCGGTCTGTGGTAACTCCGCCATTTTGCAGGTGAGTACACTGAAGTCTGAGGAGGCGCGGAGACTGGCAAGGTCAAGTGGGCCAGCGCTCGCAGGACCCAGCACTCCCACCCGTGGGTCCGTCTCTCGCACGGGAAATGACTTGTTTGCCCAACCGCTTTCCCACGGGAGTCCTGCCGTGACTGCTAACCTTCGTGCTGACTAGTTTATCGGCTGCTTCTGTTATGCAACGGCAACAGCGTGTCTAGAAAACAACAAGGGGCCCCGCTGCCAACCGCAGTCACTGGGCCAGACGGACGCCACGCTTAAGCTCCACCCACTTCGCTGGAGCAACTCTTTCGAAGAGAATTTGACTTGCTTTGTGTTTAAAAATCGAAGGCAGAGTGTTTCTCTATGTACTGGTCAAGGTCCAATTTCAAGATCAAAGAATTAGGAAGCATAAAGAGATCGTACCTGCGGTTGCCACAAAATGCCTTTCACATCTAGCTGCCCCCATCGCTAGGTCCTACGGGGACAGGGAAGGTGGTGGCTAAGATGCGGTCGCCTGCCTTCCAATATCTTTCTGTTTGATGGAAGAGGGGAGTGAGGTCCAGAGAAACAGCAGTGAACTAGAGCAGCTTTCTGTCTCCTGGTGAAGTATGTTTCCTATTACAAATGAGCACCAAGCACGGCTGGAATGAATGATCGGTCGTGTCTAGGGTGCCAGGAGATTTTGGAGAAGGAAAATATTTTACCTCTTCTTTCCCTCAGCCAAAAAAAGAGTAAAAATGGGGACAAGCATTTGGCCTTCCGGTGAAGACACATGCCCCATTCCGTATCAGAGTGCCTGGGTTGGGTACTGGGCCCCCGATAACGAGAACCCTGGCAAACAGTAGGAACAGTAACTGAGTTTTTGGCACTCAGATGGGAGACCTGAATCGAGTTCCCAACTCCTGACTTCAGCCTGGTGCAGGCCTGGATTGGCCCTGGTCATTGCAGCCATCTGGGGAGTCAGTCAACAAATGGGGTCTCAATCTGTCTGCCTCTCTCTCTCTCAAATAAATAAAAGTATAAGTACAGTGTCTTTAAGGCCAGGTGCTGGGGCCGGTGCTGTGGCACAGCAAAGGCATCCCATATGGATGCCAGTTCAAGTCCCGGCTGTTCCACTTCCGATCCAGCTCTCTACTATGGCCTGGGAAAGCAGTAGAAGATGGCCCAAGTCCTTGGGCCCCTGCACCCGCATGGGAGACCCAGAAGAAGCTCCTGGCTCCTGGCTTTAGATCAGCTTAGCTCTGGCTGTTGCGGTCATCTGGGGAGTAAACCAGCAGATGGAAGACCTCTCTCTCTCTGTCTCTCTCTCTCTCTCTCTATATATATATCTGGCTCTACCTCTCTCTGTAATTCTTTCAAATAAAATAAAATGAATATTAAAAAAAGACTAGTCCTGTAGGTTCTGGGATCACACATATTTAGGGCTCAAATTCTTATTCTGCCAATTATTCATAATAATAGCGCATGCATAGGATTGTTTTGAGGATTAAATGAGTTGGTGGTACATAAACTCAGTACAGTGCTCCTCAAGAAGCACTTGGTGATATCTGTCTGTGACTCTGGCTTTCAAATAAATAAAAAATAAATTGGTGATGGTGATGAGGTTTGGGACAAGGAACATATGGAGAGGACTTTGGAGTCACACAGTGATTAAGGAGGCAGGGGTTACTTTTTTCCCCAGAAACCTTCTATTTAAGGACTGCAAGCTTCATGCATTTCTTTTTGTTTGTTTGTTTGTTTAAATAATTGATTCTAACATGAATTTTTTTTTCAGATTTATTTATTTGAAAGTTACACACAGAGAGGTCTTCCATCCACTGGTTCACTCCCAAATGGCCACAATGGCTGGAGCTGTGCCAATCTGAAACCAGGAGCCAGGAGCTTCTTCCAGGTCTCCTGCGTGGGTGCAGGGGCCCAAGGACTTGAGCCATCTTCTAGTGCTTTCCCAGGCCATAGCAGAGAGCTGGATCGGAAGAGGAGCAGCTGGGACTAGAAACTGGAGCCCATATGGAATGGTGGCACTACTGGCAGTGGCTTTGCCAGCTATGCCACAGTGCTGGCCCCCCCCCTTTTTTTAAAGATTTATTTCATGCATTTCATAAGTACAACTTTAGGAAGATGTCGCTCCCCCACTCGCGGAGGAAGGACACCAGACCCTGTGCTGTTCTCTTTCCCTGGCCCTTCCCGGGTTTGCTGCCAGTCCCCACCCTCCACCCCCGCGGAGGGACGGCACCCCTGCCACTTCCCCCGCTTCCACGGAGGAGCGGCACACCGCCGGCCGGCTCTCTCAGGGGTTGCTCAGATGTTCCTGCTGCATGTTGTCTCTCTCCTCCTTTATAGTCCTCTTCCACCAATCCCAACTCTGCTGGCGTTCTCTCCCCATGCGCTGAGCACCCTGCTCTCCTCCAATCAGGGGCAGGATCAGCTCCTGCAGCTTGTTAATTGAACTGATGAGGCAGCTGTGTGAAGTTGTTTACTCTCTCAGCGCCATATGATGGGAGATCAGATGCATAGAGTTAGTCTTAGCAGTTCCAGTAATTTAGTCTAGTCTCGGTTGCTCCCCACAGGAACATACTGATTCTTCCCACTCTATCCGCCCTTCCACCCCTCTTCCTTCTCCCTCTCCTATTCCCATTCTTATTTTTACTAAGATTTATTTTCAATTAATTTTATACACATATGATTAACTCTGTACTGAGTGAAGAGTTCAACAAATAGTATGGGGGAGAAATCTCTTCCTCAACAGTCAAGACAAGGACTATTTAAAGACATTGCTTCTCAAAGTGTCACTTTCACATCTAAAGATTATCTTTTAGGTGTCTATTATTTATTATATGTCAGGGAGAACATATATTTGTCCTTTTGGGACTGGCTTATTTCACTAAGTATGATATTTTCCAGTTTCATCCATTGTTGCAAACAACAGGATTTCATTTTGTTTTTACACTGTGTAGTATTCCATGGTGTAAATATCCCATAATTTCTTTATTCAGTTTTCAGTTGATGGACATTTGGGTTGATTCCATGTCTTAGCTATTGTGAAATGAGCGACAAAGGATTACCTTTTTTTAATATTTATTTATTTGAAAGGCAGAGTTACAGAGAGCAGAGGCAGAGAGAGAGAGAGAAAGAGAGAGAGGTCTTCCATTCAATGATTCACTCCCCAAATGGCTACAACGGCTAGAGCTGAGTCCATCTTAAGCCAAGAGCCAGGAGCTTCTTCCAGGTCTCCCATGAGGGTGCAGGGGCCATCTTCTACTGATTTCCCAGACCACAGAAGAGAGCTGGATCAGAAGTAGAGCAGCCAGGACTCAAACCATCACCCATATGGGATGCTGGCACTGCAGACTACAGCTTTACCCACTACACCACAGCGCCGGCCCCAAGGGATTACTTCTTTACCTGCCTCCTTTCCTACTTTATTTTCTTTCCTGATCCTCCATTAAAATATGTAATATATACCTTTAATGTCTCCAGTGATCCCCTCCCCACATGAATGTATCATGGGAAACAGACACCTTTAACGGCATTCAGTAATCAGATTCATACTATAAAGTAATTGTAGACATTTATAAAAGCTGTTCTTGGATGGCTGTCTCTATCTCTCTCTCATTCTGGCTTTCAAATAAATAAAGCTTAAAAAAAAAAAAAGCTGTTCTTGGACTGCTAAGGTCTGTGTGAGAGTTTGGGTAATTGCCTCAACTTAATTTTTTGATGCTCACAGTGTTGGAATATTATATGAATATTAAGGAAAATTTAGTCTCCCTCAAAAGTGATCACTATTGTCTTTTTTTTTTTTTAGAGGTTTATTTACTTAAAAGGCAGAGTAATTCAAAGGAAAAGATCTTCCAACCACTGGTTCACTCACCAAATGGCTGCAACAGGTAGAGCTGGGCCAAGAAGAAGCTAGGAGCCAGGAGCTCCAACCAGGTCTCCTTGTGGGTAATAGGGACTCAAGTACTTGAGCTGTCACCTGCTGCTTCCCAGGCACATTAGCAAGGAGCCAAGTCAGAAGCAGGGCAGCTAGACTGGAAGCAGGTCTTCTATACCAGGGCTTAACTCGTTCCTCCACAACACCAGGATGGGTCCAGCCCTGGTTATTGTGGGCATTTGGGGAGTCAGCCAGCAGATGTAAGAAATCTCTCTCCCAGAGAGATCTTCCATCTGCTGGTTCAATTCTCAGATCAGACCCAAGCCAGGGACCAGGGACCAAGAGCTTCTTCTGGGTCCGCCACACGGGTGCAGGGCTGCTGGACTTGGGCGGTCTTCCATTGCTTTCTCAGGCACATTAGCAGGGATCAGAAGTGGAGCAGCCAGGACTCAAACCAGTGCCATATGGGATGTCAGCGTCGTAGGCCACAGCTTTACCTGCTATGCCATAATGCCAGCCCCTTATCCTAAATGTTTTCTCTTGAGATTTGTTTGTGCTAAATTGCCCATATCTTTACTTAATCTCAATTTTAAGCTATGTTAGCTGAATATAAAGTGCTAATTTGATAGTTATTTCCTCTTTAGATTTTAAAAATGTTATTGTGCTGTTGGACTTCAGTGTTACTGTTGAGAATCTATCTTTCCTGTTTTATTATCCCTGAGATCTCTTTGTAACTGGTGACCAACATTTTCACAAGGTATTTAGGGTTAATAAAGAATTTGGTTTTGTAAACCAAAAAACAACAACAACAACAAAACTCTCCCTTTGTGTGTCATTCTGCTTTTCAAATAAATGAATCTTGTCTAAAAATTCTGTTTTAAGGGAGACTAAAAATTCTTGGCCAGTCCCATGCAGTATGAAGATCTTAGGTCATGGGGCCAGCACTGTGGCATAGCCAGTGAAGCTGCCGCCGCCTGCAGTGCTGGCATCCCATCTGGGCACTGTTCGAGTCCCAGCTGCTTGACTTCCCATCCAGTTCTCTGCTATGGCCTGGGAAAACAGTGGAAAATGGCCCAAGTCCTTGGGCCCCAGTACCCACATGGGAGACCTAAAGGAAGCTCCTGGCTCCTGGCTTCAGATCAGTACAGCTCTGGCTGTTGCGGCCATCTGGGGAGTGAACCAGCAAATGGAAGACCTCTCTCTCACTCTCTCACTCTCTCTCTCTCTCTCTGCCTCTGCCTCTCTGTAACACTGCCTTTCAAATAAATAAATAAATCTTTAAAAAAAAAATCTTTTCTCACACCCAAACAGTCCACACAATGCCTAGCAAATAGGAAACAGGAATTGTTCAGAATTCAATCCATGGTAGGAATTATCTCAAAGAATTGCAACTACTCTACTCCAATGAATTCTGAAATTTGGGGGGAAATCTTGGTCCTCATGAGGTTGGGACTGATACTCTGGCATGTAAGTCCCAGAGGACCTGGGATGCTAAACATGTGCGGTTCTTAGGGAAGTCATACTCAATGAAGACCTATCCCTCCCTATTCTGATCAGTTTGGACAGCTATAGCAAAATACCATAAAGTGGGTGACTCCTTTTTTCTTTTTTCTTTTTTTTTTACAGAAATGTATTTCTCATCTAAGATCAAGACACGTACAGATCTGGTGTTTTGTGAGCATTCCCTTTCTTTACATGTTGTGTCATCACAGGGTAGAAGGGGCCACTTTGATGTGAATACTGATCTCATTCACAAGGGCTGCAATCTCAAGATCTACTCATCTCTCAAGGCCTCATCTCTGAACATTATCACTTTGGTAATTAGGTTTTATAAAAGATTTATTTATCAATTTGAAAGTCTGACTGACAGAAAGACAGAATATTCCATTCACTAGATCAGTCCCCAAATGCCCACAATAGCCAGGGCTAGGCCAGACCAAAGCCAAGAACCAGGAACTCCATCTGGGTGTCTAGTGTGCGTGACTGAAACCCAAATATTTGGGCCATCATCCACTGCCTCCCAAGCACACTAGCAGGAAGCTGGATCCAAAGTGTAGAATAGCCGGAGCTCGAACCAGGCACTCTGATATAGGAAGTAGTTTAACCCATTGCACCACAATGACCAACCAGGTAAATAGGTTTCAGTATATAATTTTTTTAAAGATTTATTTATTTGAAAGGCAGAATTGGAAAGCAGGGAGATATCTTATATCTGCTTGTTCAATCTAGGGCTGGGCCAGACCAAAGCCAGGAGCCTGGAACTCCTTTCAGATCTGCAAGAGGGGTAGCAGGAACATCTTTTTATTGCTTTCCAAGGCACATTAGCAGGGAGTTGGATAGGAGGTAGAGCAGATGGGACTTGAACCAGCACTCGTGGGATTCTGGCATCTCATGCAGTGGCTTAACCTAACTAACCCACTGCAACACAACAACTGCCCCTGAATATATGAATATTGGGGCTGGAAAACCATACATTCAGACCATAGCACCCTAACTTCTGTGTAGAAACACTGACCATGGTGGCCAGCACATTAGATGTGAGGAAGAACCTTACCAACAATGAAACCGTTCCACTGTGGGTTGGAATATGAGATGGTAAAGCATGAAAAGATTTATAACACCACTGTTAGCAAGACTGTGGGAGAATAGGTACTTTCACTGCTGATTCTGGGAATGCAAACTGATGTAATTGTTCCTAAAAGTGAATTCATGCAAATTTAAATAAATTAAGAAGGCGCCGCGGCTCACTAGGCTAATCCTCCACCTAGCGGCGCCGGCACACCGGGTTCTAGTCCCGGTTGGGGCGCTGGATTCTGTCCCGGTTGCCCCTCTTCCAGGCCAGCTCTCTGCTGTGGCCAGGGAGTGCAGTGGAGGATGGCCCAGGTGCTTGGGCCCTGCACCCCATGGGAGACCAGGAAAAGCACCTGGCTCCTGGCTCCTGCCATCGGATCAGCGCGGTGCGCCGGCCGCAGCGCACCGGCCGCGGCGGCCATTGGAGGGTGAACCAACGGCAAAGGAAGACCTTTCTCTCTGTCTCTCTCTCTCACTGTCCACTCTGCCTGTCAAAAAAAAAAAAAAAGTATTAAAATGGAGGCAGGAAGAACTGGAAAGAAACCTGCATAAATATTTGATGGTCTTAAAGAGAGGAAGATTTCTCCAATCATTAAATCAAAAACAAAACTGATAGTTTTGCATATGTAAAATAATGTAAAGATCTTTTCTGTAAAAATAAAAATAAAATTTAAAAACACCATAATCAAGAGTCAAAGGCAAAGAACTAATTTTTTTTTTTTTTTTTTTTGGCTAGGCAGAGTTAGACAGTGAGAGAGAGAGACAGAGAGAGTTATAGACAGTGAGAGAGAGAGAGAGAAAGGTCTTCCTTCCATTGGTTCACCCCCCAAATGGTCGCTACGGCCGGCGCGCTGCACCAGTCCGAAGCCAGGAGCCAGTTACTTCCTCCTGGTCTCCCATGCGGGAGCATGGCCCATCCTCCACTGCCTTCTTGGGCCACAGCAGAGAGCTGGACTGGAAGAGGAGCAACTGGAACAGAATCCGGCACCCCAACCAGGACTAGAATCTGGGGTGCTGGCGCCACAGGCAGAGGATTAGCCTAGTGAGCCGCGGCGCCAGCTCAAAGCAGTAATTCAAGGACAATGGTTGTAACACACGTGACACAAGTGCTGATACTTTTATTTACTTAATAAAAAGTTAAGATCAATAAGAACAAGTCTAAAGGAAAAATTGGCAATGGATATGAATGTGAAATTTATAGAAGAAAACCATAAATGTCTTGTAAATGTATGAAAATATTTTAAACCCCATAAAAATTCAATAAATGCAAATGAAAACAATAGGGCATATTTCATATCATTCTTACCTCTCAGTTTGACAGATTGATCATAGCCATGGTCCGAGAAGTTGTGATTGAAAAAGGCAGTTTCACACAATGTTGGCAGAATTACAGATTGATGAAAACCTCTTTGGAGGGCAAATTGAAGTATCTTGGAATTTTAAGGTGTGCTGTTACAGTTAGGATAATAGTTTGTGTGTCCACTGAAGATTCCCATACTGGGGGCTTGGTCCCAGAGTCTCCTGTTTATGGTTAATGGATAATGAATGGAAACTTGATCTCATTATGGTGTTTAAGAGCTTGGCATGTTGGAAGTTTTTTTTTTTTTTTTAATTTTTTAAAGACTTATTTATTTGAAAGGCAGAGTTACAGAGAGGCAGAGAGAGGGAAAGAAAGAAAAAGAAAGAGAGGTCTTCCATCTGCTGGTTCATGCCCCAAATGGCTGCAATGGCTGGAGCTGTGCTGCTGATTTGAAGTCAGGAGCCTGGAGCTTCCTCTGGGTCTCCCACATGAGTGCAGGGGCCCATGTGGTTGGGCCATCTTCTACTGCTTTCCCAGGCCATAGCAGAGAGCTGGATTGAAAGAGGAGCAGCCAAGACTTGAACCAGCGCCCATATGGGATGCTGGTACTGCAAGTGGTAGCTTTACCCCTTGAGTCACAGCACCAGACCCTGGAAGTCTTTAAGTCATTAAGGGCTTGCCCTCAGAAGGTAGTTTTCAGGGGAGGGTTGATTGATTTATAAAGACCAAGTTGAGCCTAACTGCTCTCTGCTTGCTGTCTCTTTGCGATCATCCAGCCTCACCAGTTGGCTAAACCAATAGGGCCACCCCATCATGAACTATGAACTTTCTATACTGTAAGCCCAAATAAAACTTATTTACTAAGTAGCTCCTTCATGTATTGTAGTTAAAATAACCAAAAGCTGACTAACACATGCACACCATGTCTTACATATACAAACTTTAAAAGATGGTCAGAGATATAGGATGATTGATGCAGAAATGCTTGAAAGGCTAGAAAATTGGAATTAATGTAAATGACCATCAGTAAGGTTCTGATTATATTATGCTACTTTTACATATAATAATATATTCACAGTCATCTTAAAAAGTGAAATAAGTATATATGAACTAATGTGGAAGACTATAGAAAACGGACAGTTAATAGGGGAAAAAAGCAAGCTGCTGAACAGTATATGTGCTACGATCTCATTTGTTAAGCCACTGTTTAGGGTTCCTACATCCAAGTCCTCAGGCTGTCTTCCATTGCTTTCCCAGGCTCATTAGCAGGGAGTTGTAGCAGAAGTGGAACAACCGAGACTTGAACCCAGTGCTCATATGGGATGCCGATATTGCAGGTGGTAGCTTTTCCCTGCTAGACCACAGTGTTGGCCCCGTTTCTAACTGTTTTCAAAAAAGATGTATGTGAAAGGCAAAATGACAGAGAAGAGGAAACAAACAGGCACATACAGAGGGAGAGAGAAAAACAGAGAGGGAGATAGAGATCATCCATCTGCTGGCTCACTCCCCAAATGCCCACATCAGCCAGGTCTGGGCCAGGCCAAAGCCAGGAGCCAGGAACTCCATTCAGATCTCCCACATGAGTAGCAGAGACCCAAATTCTTGAGCCATCATCCCATAACCTTCCAAGGTGCATTAGCAGGAAGCTGGATCAGAAGTTGGGTAGCTGAGCTTCAAATAGAACTTCAATATATGTTTTAAGGGAAAAAATACCACTGATTTTAAAATATACTACTCAACTTTAATATGTAATTAAGCCAGTGCCACCAAAAAAGAAGAAACACACTGCTGTGTTGGATATGTAGCCATTGCTACAAACACTAACAATATATGTCATATATGGTGATTATACACATACTCTTGTTCATTTCTCAGTCATTGTCAGACCATTTGGTGATTAAAAAAACCAAGACATCATTTGAAAATATGCCCAGATGCCCTAAGACAGTATGCACCATACATAATCACATGCATTTGATGAGGAATTAGTCCATTAAAAGTAGCAGCTGTATCTGAACAGCATCCTGCTACTACCTAGTTATGATGATTAGTCATTGCCTCTTTAATAAAAAAAAGCAACAGATTTGGTATTAAGTATATTTTTTCCATTAGCACCTTCTTCATTTTCTGCAGCATGTTTCAGGCATATTGCTAGCTTCTTGTCTTCCAATATCTTCCAATCATTCCTCCCTGTTCAGGACACTTCCCTGATTCCTAGAAGGTAGTTAAGTCTTTTCATTGATTCCACACTAAAGACAATTCCTCCTTACACACTCACATATTCAAAGTCTTCAGATTTTATGTATGGCTTAGATTAAAAGACTGTGATGGGGCCGGTGCTATGGCATAGTAGGGAAAGCTGTCACCTACAGTGCTGGCATCCCATATGGGTGCCAGTTTGAGTCCCAACTGTTCCATTTGTGATCCAGCTCTCTGCTATGACCTAGGAAAGTAGTAGATGACCTTGGGCCCCTGCACCCGCGTGGGAGACCCGGAGGAAGCTCCTGGCTTCAGATCAGGTTAGCTAGTCTGTTGCAGCCAGTTGGGGAGTGAACCAGCGGGTGGAAGACCTGTCTCTCTCTGCCTGTGCCTCTCTCTAATTCTGCCTTTCAAATAAATAAATATATCTTTAAAAAGAAAGAAAGATGCTACTTTGTATGCTCATAATTCAATAATAGCAAATTAGTGGGGTATGCAAGAAAAAAAAACAGTTGTGTTTGTTGCTGTATTTATGAAAAGCGTATTTATATGCTTTTCTCATCACTAACCACAAGTAATTTGTTTCCATACTAATTGACTCAAACACTTTAACATTTTCAGAAGTGAAGAACTCTGTTTTGTCACAATGTTTGGTCCAAACCTCCTTCCCAGCTGCCCAAAGACACATATATTTGGGTTTTACAAGGATGATGCAATACGCCTGAAATCTCTGAGTTCCATACATTC